GCAAATGTGAGGTTCATTTTCTCTGTGTCAATGTAAGAAATATTAATTCAGTCTTATAAGCAGTGAAACCGACAAGCTTTGCAAGCTACATACTATAATCTCGAAGGGCCTGATGTGGCTGTTTTCCATCTATAAATAGCACGCATGCTTTGGGTAAATGATGATGATGAGAGTAAATCGGTGGTTCTCATATAACCGTAGCTTGCTCAAGAACAGAACGGCTAATTATGGCTGTGAGCAACTCTTCCAGCTCGGATGTGTCTTATACTTTATGATATGGATTTCTGGCCATTGGAAGGCAAGAACAATCTGAGTGCTGTTAATGGGAAACAAGAGTTGGCAGGTATTATGACATGACACGCATTAAAGAAGGAAATAAAATATAGAGGTTGAAAAACAAAAACAAATAAACAATGAACTCTTGTTTCCAGTGAATTAGAATAACTGAATACACTATACCGAACGTGCTATCTAACTGCTTCAAGTCCATCAGCTTAAAGACTCCCTGAAACGCCTCCACTGTAGTCTCGAGTTTCTCCCGGGAACGAACACGTCACAATATTCCTCATTATAATAATTCATACGCAGAATAAAGGGGCGGGGCCTGGTTGAGTTAGTTAGTAGTGTGTTAAACTGGCGGTTATGGAAAGGGGCGGGGCTTTCCCAAACACACTCGAAGCGCTCGACCAATCACAACACACTGCTCCAGCCGACCAATCAGAGCAAAGAGACACTGACTCGTTAAACTTGCGACCACAGTTGGCTAACGATGCGTTCGGGAAACACGCTGACAGACTGGGATGCAACAATGTCAAATATGCATGAAAGCATGAAAAACTATTCTAGTAGAGCCCAGAAATTCCCGGTTTCCCAGCGGATAACTGGAGATGGTGGCATTTCCGGCATGCTGTAACAGTTGAGAGGAAAGGAAATAAGTAGAGATAAAGGGGAAATAATGTAAGCCGAATTCAAAGTCACATTGGAGCTCGAAGTGGACAAAGCATGCTTGAGATTTGAGATTTGACAGAAGCGTGTCCACCTTACTCCCGACGAGTCACTTCCGGTTTGGGGAACTTCCATTCAAAAACACTGAAACTAATTATTTCAAATCACAAGGTTTACCCTAAAAATAAAGCTGATCTGTCAGTTTTCCTTCATGTTTTAATTTCAGACATCATCAGGATAACGTAACACTTGGTATTTTAACGTGACAAGAATATCTATGGCAAGAGCTCATTCCTTTCCTCATGATTATTTTCTTTTTTCCCTTTGCATTCCTCTGTAATAGTATGAAAAAGGACAACATGTACTGCACATTTGTAGTCTGTTCTCCCGATTTAATTTATGATACATTCCCATTAATAATTCCCTGGAATGCACGAAGATTCACTTATTACAGTTTTTCTCAGTCGCTTTGGTGCATTTCTCACATCACTATTTACATTTGCACAACAGTTAGTTCAACCTCCACAGCATTTAGTCATTTGTGCACATCATAGTAGCAGTTTCTCATTCCTTCCAACAAACTGCAAATGCTTTTGGACATGCATCAGTTGCTTTCATACAACTCTCTGCTGTTTTATAACATTATCATTTGCTTATGTCATGTCAGTCAAAATTAACTATACTTGTGAATGCTGAATAGTCATTCCATATAAAACTAATAGTCCTCATTTCATTGCTTGAGTCATCACATACAAAAATGTTGAACTAGTTGTCAAAATCTGTCAAGCAAATTGTACAATTTTTTTATCTCTTTTTAAAAAAAAAATCTTTTTTTATCCTAAATTGAACAATTTCTCTCAGGTGAACCTCAGCTTTCACTGATGAGAAGAGATGTGCATGAATGATTTACAGTACTATGTATGTTGTATGTTCAGTTCCAGTATGTACTGCAATATTGTTTAAAGTTGTGCACAGCTCGACCCAAAGGGAGTTTATGTTTGTTGTAAATAAGGGTGTATTTTTTCTTTTGCACAATGCTGTGAACAAATTAGAATTGCAAAAAGCATATGCAGTAAAAATGTGAAACATACATCAGTGTCTTGTACTCGGTTACCTCACTAAATACAGTAATGTGTAACTTTACTGTAGTTTTCAAATGGCTGTGCAAATAGTATATAGTGCTGTCTTGAGCATTGAGGATTGTCTGGTAGTGTCACCAAGATGCATTGGAAAACATTTACAGAGTAAACTGTCATAATGAAAACATGACAAAGCCATTTGACTATCTTGTTCATAAACAGTGGTGTCAGGACTTTTCATCTTGATGACACGGACACTTTCATTGACATGAATACTTGCTTTGAGGAATGAACTATCCATTTTGAGCAATTGACATGCTTTTGCAGGTTATCAACTAGGTTTTGTAGTTTGTACTAATTGTTTTGAGAACTGCATTAACTGTTGTGCAAATGTAAATAGTGATGTGAGAAATGCACCAAAGCGACTGAGAAAAACTGTAAATAAAATGTATTGTATAAAAAACAATGCCACCCCAGCATCACGCTACACTCACAAGCATTTGATTGGCCATTTCTTGCATATTAACAGCACCATCGAAGCTTTTTTCATTCATTTAAATATCATTATAGATTCATGCATACATACAGATAATGGACGGACGGACGGACGGACAGACAGACAGACAGACAGACAGACAGACAGACAGACAGACAGACAGACAGACAGACAGACAGACAGACAGACAGACAGACAGACAGACAGACAGATAGATAGACAGACAGATAGATAGACAGACAGACAGACAGACAGACAGACAGACAGACAGACAGACAGACAGACAGACAGACAGATAGACAGACAGATAGATAGACAGACAGACAGACAGACAGACAGACAGACAGACAGACAGACAGACAGACAGATAGATAGATAGATAGATAGATAGATAGATAGATAGATAGATAGATAGATAGATAGATAGATAGACAGACAGACAGACAGACAGACAGACAGACAGACAGACAGACAGACAGACAGACAGACAGACAGACAGACAGATAGATAGATAGATAGACAGACAGACAGACAGACAGACAGACAGACAGACAGACAGACAGACAGATAGATAGATAGATAGATAGATAGATAGATAGATAGATAGATAGATAGATAGATAGATAGATAGATAGACAGACAGACAGACAGACAGACAGACAGACAGACAGACAGACAGACAGACAGACAGACAGACAGACAGACAGACAGACAGACAGACAGACAGACAGACAGACAGACAGACAGACAGACAGACAGATAGATAGATAGATAGATAGATAGATAGATAGATAGATAGATAGATAGATAGATAGATAGATAGATAGATAGATAGATAGAAAGACTAGCAGTTTGAAAAAGGGAACAATGGGTGGAATATTAAGGCTTAATGCCCATATGGTTTTTGCGGTCACTATATGCTCATTTTCTGAGCGATGCACACATTTTGTATCTCTAGTGATAAACAGAGAGTCTAATATATCAGGGAGACGAACACAAAACCAAGATATCCAGCTATTTTTATCACTTTAATATCAGTGCATATTCCACGCTCACAAAAGCTTTTGCCAAGTAAACAAAAAGAACAATGCACAATATCTTGAAGGATTCTCAATAGCGACATATATGTGTGTGTGTGTGTGTGTGTGTGTGTGTATGTGTGTGTATGTGTGTGTGTGTAGCTTCAAGAGAGCAACCATACATCTGTGTTGTGTTTTCTTTGTCTTTTTATTCATTTATAATCATTTAATCATAATAATTTATAATTGAATCATTATTATCCAATTTAATCATCTAATTATTAATCTTTATTCTTTTACTTAATTTCCTTGCAATGCTTGCTATTGTTGTTTAATCTTTTGATAGTGTGGTTTGAAGACATGTTTGTCTTCATAAGAGTTCAGAGAAAAGTCTCCTTTTCAAGGTTTTTAAGGACAATGATGTGAAGCAGTGACTTTCCATTGCTTTTGCTTTTGCTTTGGTATGATTATGATAACACTTGTTGGATTTGTTCTGGCCGAAGGACGACGTAGAGATGAAGTTCAGATGAAGTCTAAGCATTCAAGCATATAAGATTATTCAATAAACCCTGCTGATTTTTTATAATCATCTCCTGTTTTTTGCTCTTCCTCTCAGGCTGAAAATATACCTTTAGTTAATACAGTTTTGTTCACTGATTTTGTGAATCAGATAAAAATCTCTAATACAAATCAGATCATTTCTGACACTGTGGAGATTCAATCTAACAATCTCTATAGGTTCTGCATTTGGTATCTCAGTTGGGCTTTTGGTATATGAAAGTGCTGTATGTAATATTCTTATATCCAATTACCCACCTTATTCCTACACCCCCCATGATGCTTTGCACGAAATATGGGTGTAACTTCCGTTACGCTGTAAACAATCAGTGAAAGGCTCGCTCTATGAACCCAATAATATATATATATATATTAAACTGGGTACAATGAGATGACATTATTCTACTCACCCTTCAACCATCGGACATTAAAAGGACATTTAAAAGTGTAAAAGCATGAATAACCACAAAAGCACGACGGGTTAATATCACTGTAGTCATATATATATATATATGTATTACGTTGCCTTAATCAAAAATGTTCATTAACTTCAGCAATGCATGATACAATTTCAAAGTGATTTCCGTCATTTGGTCTGATACTAAATTGTATTTACCTTTGAAAACAAACCTGGAAAGAGACGTGAGGATTTGAGGAGAAAAACGAGAGATTCAACATAGTAAATAAAATAATTAGTTAGAAATTAGTTATACTATATAATCTCTTGTAAAATAATTAGTAATTGTAAATATTCAGAGCATTTCTCTCAGCGCATTAATTACACAGAAGAGGATGACATATGGAGGCTGTTTTATGGTTTAATATGCCCTCATAAAGGTCAATAATAGCCATGCTAATCAACTCTATATTAAACGTTGTTATTTATTTTGTGTGTCTGTAAAGGTTGATGCTGATGATGTCCTCACGAAAGAGGAACAACTCTATGTTCTGTTCACCGCAAAGCGGAAGTGCGAGCTGGTGATCAAGTCCAAACATAAAACTGGTAAGTTATACATGTTTTATTCTTTAAAAAAAGACTGAGAACATGCAGAGTAAGACACTGCTAATCTGGGGATCACTGCATAGACATCCCCCGTCTCTGAGCGCTGTTCTCTTCACGCTGTTGGGCATGGCTGAAGCTATATAACCCAAATATGGGCATTTCCTTTCTATCAGTAACCAATCGTGAATGTCCAAAGGGTGATTTAAAGCTAATGACGAAATCTCATTGGCCACTGCTGGTTTCTGCTAACGTGATTCGCTCAGACGCATCACATGGTGTACTCTGCCAACGTTAATTCATTGAGTTACTGCAGTTGTAGGCCTTAAATGCCTGCCGTGTTATTAAATAATGTTTTCATGAGCTTGAAATATTATATATTATTATTACTAAGGGCCTGAGCATTTATTCTGTTTTTGAGCAATTTTTTCCAATATAAATGTATTAAATCTTTAAATGCCTTTTTCTCAAAATGAGTTTTTTGTCATTCTCCAGTACAAACATCTCAGCCTATGTACACCAAACTCTCCAGTTATACACTTAGCAGTATTCTTTAGATATTTCCAGAGGGATTTGTTAATAAATCATTCCTGGCCTGATTTATGTGACATTTTAATTTAAAAAAATATGGCGAAAATTGATTTTTTGAAGGCTATGGACAGTATATTTTGATTTCCTAGGTAATGGAAGCATATATCCTGAAATCCCTCTGAACTTTTTTTTTTTCATCTTGTGTGTAAACAAAACAAAAAAAGAATTTTGCACCTGGCTTTATCATACGTTCAGATCTATCTACCGAAAATATATGCAAAATTGCGCATATTTAATGAGATAATGCCTAATTTGCATAATTAAACATACAAATTTCAAAAACTTATAATACATTTCTTTTATATACTTGTGTAAGTAATCAACTGAGGAAGTTTCATGGTGATATCTATTATTTAAAAATGTTACCCTATTCACCTGTAGTGTCTCGCCTTAATGGACGTTTGGACACATGCGTGCTTGGGGGTCTCAGGTGCTTGAATGTGACCCTCCGCTACGCCACATCCAATCAGGTTGATGCTAAAACGAACTGGCATTGATTAGGCTGGATCTCTCAGCAACACTCCATCAGTCACTGCCAAAGCCAACAGAATCCATTAGTTTCTATTACACTGGCCTGACACCTCGTTATTTAATTTTTTTTAAAATAAATAAGAAGCTGTCTGTCAGCTCCTTGTTTTAAAAAAGCACATGCTTTAGTCTTAGACTCCTGGTTGTTGATTTGGTTGGGGGTTGAAGTGTTTTAGCGGAGTCCTGGGTCATTCTCCCTTGTGAAATGAAATATATTTTTATATTTTTTGGTAAAAATATATTTTGTGTGTGTGTATGTTTGGTATCATACTTATAACCTACACACAAGTATATAAGTAACATAATTCCTTGTTTGGATAGGATACACATATATATGAGGTGTTTAATATGATTTCAGCATCTGAAACCTTTCCAACTGGACAGGATTTTTTACTTCAGAGCGCCATGGGAAGTCAAACTTCACCTAACATCTGAAATTGCTAATTTCCTGCTCTTAACAGGTTCTCATTTCATCAGACTCTGAATGATTTATGTGATATTTTTGGATATCAGAAACCCAGGTTTTTCCTTATATCAATCATCATTAGAACAGAACACATTTTACACAGGTCCAGACTTTAAAATTAGGGGTGCTCCGATCAGGATTTTTGGGGCCGATCACCGATCGCCGATTACTGGAAGCTGTATCACCCGATACCGATACCGATCACCGATTACATGGTCTATTTGAAGACTTCTTTTTATCATGTAGCATTACTTATTAAACTATATTTAACAACAATGTACATTAAGTATTACATTTAAGAGAAGACAATGCATAATGAATTGACACCTGTGTATTTATTTGCAAGCAACATGTATTAACATAGCAGCTTGGTTATTGGGAGCAGCTTAGGGCTTGACATACAACTTTCCTGTGGAATATAAAATAAAATTAATAAAAAACAGAACATCTGAGTCTTTAAATTTAGCTTTAGACTACTTTAAACTAAAAACAACAACAAAAAAGGCTATAGCCAAAATAATGTTTTGAGTCAGTCAGCCATCAGTTTTTCTAATACACTTAAAGGACCACAGGTAGTAAAGTGCACAGCAACAAAAAAAAACTAACAACTTCCATATCTGTATCTATAACTTTGCTTTTTTCTGGGATGCTTAGTCAGATTTTGTAGGCATTTAGAGAGGAAGAGAAACCTTTTGTGTGTGTGTGTGTTTGTGTGTATGAAGAACCCTTGCAAAATTATTTTAAACAGATTAAGAAAGCCACCACTGGTCACATCTATGGTTAGATTGATTTTTTTTTTAGATCCAGTGAAGTCTGTCCCACCATGTACCTAATATAAATAAATAAAACATCTTCAGTTAACTAGCAGATCATTCATTTAGTTCGATATTAAATAAGAAATCTAGCGCTAAAATGTGTTTTTGAACTCAAGCTGCGCGCTCGTTGCCGCGGCGATCAGTGTCATGGATACAGTGCTCTGTGCCTCGCGCAGTCTTCACTCGGACGCGCGCTTCAATCTATCGCCGTTGCGGACTCTTATTCATTCCGGTGTAATCACAAAATAAAACACAAACGTATCCTTGCTTGATATAACTATAACCGCTGATGAACAAAATCAGTTTTGATGAGAGAAAAAAAATATGTACGAGTGATTTGACGGACGCACGGGGGTTGGATACATTTTTGTCATTGGTTGTTGCTTTAAATCTTACCCAGATACAATAGTGCTATTTTCTGATTGGCTATTGTGTAGCTCGACTAACAACACCAGAGGAAACGCGCTTGATTCATGCCGGTTCCACAGTGAGAGCGGCGCGGCCAGAGTTTTGGCCGCTGCGGCATATTAAATATATTACAAATAGTTTTTCAGCGTGAGAAATACAATGTGTGGAGGGAGAGCGTGACAAAAGACCCAAATGAGTGACTGTCACGCTCAATGCTTGACACTTGAGAGCCCTGTTGTAGAATTGCCAGACCGGTGAAGCCATTTTTACCAGGCGTAAAAAAATTGTCTCGCGAGTTTTGCGTCATCTGATCGGCTTTTCTGGATCGGCCTTTATAGAGACCGCCGATCACACATCCCAAAGCAATTATCGGCCGATTATGATCGGCGACCGATCAATCGGAGCACCCGTATTTAAAACTCTTGATTCTACTCTGTACTTGCCCTTATAAACATGCATTCAAACCGGTTGCACATTTCATCATCTTATCACACTGTTGGTGCGTGCAGGTGATTCACGCATCACTCATGCAAGATGAAATGCACTGGCTTCAGTCAGGCTGCCTTGATAGTTGCGTGTTTCGGATGAGAACGTCTCGGTTACGTATGTAACACTTGTTCCCCGAGAGTCCACTATACTTAACGAGCCAATGCACATTGGGATGCGATAATTGCAACAGCTGCTCTGCCTCGCAGCGCGGGTATATAATGAGCAGGAGGTGTGTCACATCTTCAGGTTCACTGAGGAGCCAAGCCGTGACCCGGCCGCACAGCGGTGGTACAGCAACTGTGACAACCAGACATGGAACTGCTTCAGGGAACGAGGGTTACATACATAACCGAGACGCTCCATTTCAGTCGGTCACGTTCGGCCCCACACCGGTAGTGACCACCGAATAGGAATCCCTACCAAAGCGCCACAGATGCTGCCCCTTCCAGCGCCCTGTGAAAGCCTCCTGATACCTCTACGCCTGACGGGGCGAAGGATGGGACTCGGCTCACACAGAGAATGTCCATCACTGCTGTTCCGCATGACCCGCTCAGTGACCCAACACTGAGGAACACTGGGAAAGCATGCCCTTTCCACTGGAAAAGAAACCCTGCGGAAGCCACACTAACCCGCTAGGGCCGAATTACATATGACATGTCTCTGGGGTGGCTCAGCCTGATTAGGGTGGCACTACACCTAGCAGAGACGGCAGAGCGGACTCTGCCGAGGGAAAGATACAGGCTTCTGTTTAAGAGCTATACCGTGGAAATATACACATATGAGATCCCCTCAGGGTCACACATATGGGCACCCAGCCTGCCACCGGTTCTCATGGATACATCGAGTGCAGGCCTGGTGCTGGACGCTCCGCCACGTCCGGCTAACGAGACGTTAACAGGGTTTACTCGTAGGAACTCTCTGAAGCAATATGAGCAAGCTGACACTAGCCGGGGCCCCTTAGTGCCTTCCACCCATTTGAGGTGAGATCACAGGAGGATACTGGCTCTACACGAAGGCTACAAAATCTAGCAAAAGTGTTACGTGTCGCCCAGCCCGCAGCTTTACAGATAACTATTAGCAAGGTGCCATGTGCCAGAGCCCACAACAGAGTGAGCATACCACCTGAGTGGACAAGGCACACCCTAGGTTTGGTACGCCAAGGCGATGGCATCCACTAACCAGTGGGACATCCTCTGCTTGGAGACGGCCTTTCCCTTCTGCTGGCCTCCGTAACAGACGAAGAGCTGGTCTGAGGTCATGATGCTTCGCGTTTGGTCCACGTACAGTCGCAGAGCATGGACAGGTCACAGCACAGCTAGATCTGGGTCTGCCTCCTCCAAGGGCAGCACTTGCAGGTTCACTACCTAGTCCTTGAAGGGAGTGGGGGGAACCTTGGGCACATTTGTGGGCGAGCTCTCAAGATGGCATGGGAGTCATCCGGCCTATATTCTATGCACGATTCCTCGACTGGAAATGCCTTCAGGTCCCCTACCCTCTTAATGGAAGCCAATGCAACCAGTAGCAACGTCTTCATAGACAAGATGTCTAGCTCTGCTGACTGCAAAGGCTCAAACGGGGCATTCTGAAGTGCTCTGAGCAAATCCCAAGAGGGTATGGAGGACGGCAAGTTCGTTTAACCTCCTCGCTCGCCTAAGGAACCTGATGACCAAGTCGTGCTTCTCGACCGACTTGCCTTCTATTGGATC